GTTTATTGGCGACCAAGTATTTCTAAAGTGTTGCCCATGGTGTGATGAGATTTGGGAAGAAGGGCAAGCTTAGACCTAGGTTTATTGGCCCTTTTATGATTCTGAGATGGATTGGAGAGATTTCTTATGATCTATCCTTACTCCCATCTCTTTTAGGTGTTAACGTTGTGTTTTATATCTCTATGTTAAGATGGTATGTTCCTGATGAGTTTCACATGCTTTAGTGGGATACTATTCAGCTTGATGAGTCCTTGGTATTTTAAGAGGATCATGTGGCTATTTTAGAGAGGCAAGTTAGGAAGTTTAGGTCTAAGGAGATCCCGTCGGTGAAGGTTCAGTAAAGGCATCATCTGGTCGAGAAGTCTACATAGGAGGTCGAGCTTGACATGTGGACCTGATATTCTCATCTTTTCGAGCTTTGAAGTACTTTCTTCTCTTTTACTTTTGAGGAGGAAAGTCATTTTAGTAGTGGATGTTGTAATGACACTGTCACTCCCCGAGCTACCCCTGAGACGCGGACACGGCACCTAGGATCACAAGTGACCCTAAGCTAACCCTCCAGGCATGACATGAGCATACTAAGAATAATAATAACTGATGCGGAAGCTAAATCATGAAAATTAAAGTAATAGGGAATACCCATATACTAAAATTGAATATATCAAATCTGAGAGTTAAATAAAAAAGAAACATCAAACTCAAATACTAAGTTGAATCTTAATATGTCTGAATATAGCATCTAGCTGACTAGAAGTGCTGGGACATGCCCCAGTTAAGTCTAGCAAAATTTGAACTAAAATACTAAAATAGTGAAATGATAACATGACTATTGTCCTCGAAGAATGAGGACTAACCACTGATACTGTTGAACTAGAGATCGGGAACCGATCTAAGCGTGATCTGGATGTTAAGAACCTAGTTATGTTTCTACGCTAAAACTAATAAAAACCACGTAGTTTAGGGTTAAAACAACGTAGTTTAGGGGTCCAATGAAATAGGAAAAGACCCCTGACTTAAAGTTGCAGACGGGCTGACCATGACCGTGAAAGGGACCATGGACCGTGAAGGCCCTCGTGGTCTTCACTTGGTCCTGTGGTTCTGAAGTCTAGGTCCACGTGCCACTACCACGACCCATGTAGAAGACCACGGACCGTGAAGGTCCTTGTGGTCCTCACTTGGGCTGAAGTCTGGAGGTGCAGGGCTAGGGGTTTATTGGCTGGCCTTCACGAACCCTTCCACGGCCCGTGTGGAGGACCACGATCCGTAAAGGTCCTCGTGGTCCTCACTTAGGCTTGAGGGTTTAAGGGCTAGTCTAGGGAGGCTACTGCCTCAATCTTCAAGGATGCCACCACGGTATGTTGTCAAGACCACGGCCCGTGAAGGTGCCCGTGGTTTGATGTCTAGACCTGATGAAGTCCACGTCAGGAGCACGGGCAGTTCAAAGGACCATGGACCCTATCACGGTCCATGAACCCCGCAATGGTTCACTAGTTCAGGTAAGTTCTGTAATTTTTTTCTGGGTCTAGTTTTCGAGGTGTTACAGTATCTCCCTCTTGGGATCATTCATCCTCGAATGAAAACTAAACTAGCTGAAATGGAGGGAATGAGTTGCAACCCTACGAAAATAAACACTGAAGACTGATTTTTGACTGAGCTAAGTTCCAAAAAATCATGCAAATACGCTAAAAATGCAAGAACAAACTAAAGGAACATGATACTAAGACTGATTTCATGCATGAATGACTAAAAAACTGAAGAGGGTCTATTACCTCAAGCTGGAGTGGAATCGGAAGGAAAGAGGTGAGGAAACTTGGCTTTCATGGTTGCTTCTCCTTCCCAAGTAGCTCCCTCTACGGACTGACTCCTCCACCAAACCCTGACTGAAGAGACTTCTTTGTTTCTCAACCTCCTAACCTGACGATCAAGAATCTCAATTGGTACATCTTCATAATAAATGGTATATTTCATAGCCACACTCTCTAATGGTACTACGGAAGCTAGGTCACCCACACACTTCTTCAATGGTGAAATATGAAAGACTGGATGCATTGCTGCTAAATCTGCTGGCAACTCTAACTCATAAGACACTTTACGAATCCTTTTTAAGATCCAGTAAGGGCATACATATCTGGGACTGAGCTTCTCTTTCTTGCCAAATCTTATCACCCTTTTCATAGGTGACATTTTCAGGAAAACCCAATCATCAACTTGGAACTCTAGTTCCCTTCTCCTTACATATGCATAAGACTTCTGGCGACTCTGGTCTGTCTTAAGTCTATCTCTAATGATTTGAACTTTCTCCATAGTATAATGGACTGAATCTGGCCCTATCTAGGTTGTTTCACCTACTTCAAACTAACCAACAGGAGATTTGCATCTACGCCCATACAATGCCTCATGAGGTAAGGTTAACCTGAGTACCAACACCTTTCTGAAATGACTTCCTGAAATGAGAGGTAAACTGAGGACCTCTATCTGAGATGATAGACAAAGGAACCCCATGCAACCTGACTATCTTATTTATGTAAAGCTTGGCATAGTCCTCCGCCGAATCTATAGTCTTGACCGCCAAAAAGCGATAAGACTTAGTAACTCTGTCAACTATCACCCAAATGGAGTCATGTTGTGTGCGAGTACAAGGTAAACCTGTGATGAAGTCCATGTTGATCACTTCCCACTTCCAAGTAGGAATGTCAATCTCTTGAGTCATACTTCCTGGTCTCTGATGTTCTACCTTGACTTGCTGGCAATTGGGGAACTTAGCCACAAAATCTGCTATATCTTTCTTCATACCATTCCACCAATAAACTTCTCGCATAGCACGGTACATCTTAGTGGCGCCTGGGTGAATAGAGTATCTATAGTTATGGGCTTCTTGAAGAATGTCTTGTCTCAACTCATCCACCTTAGGAACACATAATCAACCCTGATGGTGAAGTACACCATCTCCCCCTTGGGAGAAAACCTCCACTCTCTGCCAATGGATTGCACCCTTTAGCTCAAGCAGTATCGGATCACTGTCTTTTTTTCCTTCACTTCCACTACCAAAGAAGATTTTGCCCCATTCTGAACTGTTACACCACCATCTGATATGCTCATAAGACAAACTGCTAAGCGAGCAAGTCTGTGAAAATCCTTTGTTATCTCTTTTCTTTCTTCCTCAACATGTGCTACACTACCCATAGATAATTTGCTAAGATCATCTACTACTACATTGGCCTTAGTAGGATGGTAATGCACACTCATATCATAATCTATGAGGAACTCTAGCCATCTTCTATGAAGAAGATTCAACTCTTTCTGGGTGAACACATACTGAAGGCTCTTATGGTCTGTGTACACGTCTACATGAACACCATACAAGTAGTATCTCCAAATCTTGAGTACAAACATCACTGCTGCAAGCTCGAGGTTATGAGTTGGATAGTTCTACTCATGCACCTTAAGCTGTCAAGAAGCATAATCTATAACCTTCGCCTACTGCATCAGCACACAACCTAGGCCGATTCTGGAAGCATCACAATATATAACATAGCCATCTGAACCCTCTAGTAGAGTCAAAACAGGAGTTGTAGTCAACCTAGTTTTCAATTCTGGGAAGCTTTTCTCACAATAATCTGACCACTGATACTTGACCTTTTTATGAGTCAACTTAGTCAATGGAGAGGCTATGGATGAAAATCCTTCCACAAACCTTTTGTAATACCCCGCTAGACCAAGAAAACTTCTGATATCTTTTGGAGAGGTAGGTCTGGGCCATTACTTCACTGCCTCTATTTTCTGGGAATGTACTCGAATTCCTTCACTAGACACTATATGCCCAAGAAAAGCAGTTTACTGCAACCAAAACTCGCACTTGTTAAATTTGGCGAATAATTGGCGATCTTTGAGAGTTTGCAAAACAACTCTCAAATGACTCGCATGTTCTTCCTCATTCCTAGAGTAAATGAGGATATCATCAATAGAGATGATAACGTACAAGTCCAACTGTCCAAGTACTACTTGAACACTCTATTCATCAAATCAATGAAAGTTGCATGAGCATTGGTTAGTCCAAATGACATAACTACAAATTCATAATGACCATACCGAGTCCTGAAGGCTATCTTTGGAATGTCACTATCTCTGACTTTAAGCTGATGATAACCCGATCTGAGGTCTATCTTTGAGAAATGACTAGTACCCTGAAGTTGGTCAAACAAGTCATCGATCCGAAGGATGGGATATTTATTCTTGATAGTGACCTTGTTCAACTGCCTATAAACAATGCACATTCTGAGAGAACCATCTTTCTTCTTTACGAATAACACTGGTGCACCTCATGGCGAAATACTAGGTCTGATGAAGCCCTTAGATAAGGTTTTTCAACTGCTGTTTCAATTCCTTAAGCTCAGGTGGAGCCATCCTATATGGAGGAATAGAAATAGGCTGGGTATCTGGAAGGAGATCAATTCCAAAGTTGATTTCCCTATCGGGAGGAACTCCAGGAAGATCTTCTAGAAACACTTCTGGAAACTCATTAACCACTAGAACTAACTCAAGAGTTGGGGTTTCGGAGCTTGAATCCTTAACCTGAACTAGATAATAGAGATAACCTTTAGAGATCATCTTCTAGCCTTAAGGTAAGAAATGAATCGCATTGGCGCTAAACTACTACCCTTCCATTCTAAGATTGGTTTGTCTGGAAACTGAAAACGAACAATCATAGTTCTACAATTGACTGAGGCATAACAGGAATGTAACCAATCCATTCCTAGAATGACATCGAAGTCTACCATTTCTAACTCTACAAGATCTGCTGATGTCACTTTCTGAGAGACTGAGACAGGTAAATTTCTGTATATCCGTCTAGCTATAACTGTGTCACCGACTGGAGTAGAGACTGATAAAGGTTCTGAGAGAGTTTCTAGACTAACATCAAACTTAACTGCTATGTAAGGAGTAATAAAGGAAAGCGTAGCCCCTGGATCTAACAAAGCATAAACATCAAGATCAAAGACTCATAACATACTAATAACTACATCAGAAGAATTTTCCTGCTCCTGGCGAGCCTGAAGAGCATAGAGTCTGTTTTGGCATTGTCCGCCACCTGTACCAGAAGAATTACCCTACTGAGTAGGGCGACCTGCTGGTGCTACTGAAGTTGTAGACTGGATTCGATTAGTATTGCCTCCTTGGCTCAGTTTAGAAGGACAATCCCTCAACCTGTGACCAGACTGACCACACCTAAAATATCCTTCCTTTCCTGCAAGGCACTCGCCCGGATGGTTCTTACCACAATTAGGGCAAGTTGGGTAGAGCCTGATGCCCTACCTTTATGATCATTACGAAACCTAAAGGATGGAACTCTAGCTGATGAAGGTGCTGGAGTTGAAATTTTCTGCTGACCCTGCAAGCGATTTCCACCACCCGTTTTCTGTTGAGAATAGTCATAGTTCCCAGTTCTAGCCTTCTTGTTCTCCTTGGCATGTTCCTTAAGCTTATCATCCTCAACCTGCTGAGCATGAGTCATAAGCCTAGAAAGGCTCATATCTCCCAGCAACATAGCATTCCTACATTCTGTTTTCACCAAGTGTGACACTCCATAAAGTAACTTGTTCATTTGGGCCCTGGAATCAGCCACCATGTGAGGGGTATACCTGGAGAGTTGGGTAAACTTGAGCCCATACTCTTGGACTGTCATGCTACCTTGCCTTATGTTCCTAAATTCCTGAGCTTTCGCCTCCCTTAGCTCCCTTGGAAAAAACCGGTCCAGAATGGTTTCACTAAACCAATCCCAAGGGATAGGAGCTACATTTGTACCCCTGTTCTCCTTCCACTGAGTATACCAGATTTGAGCTACATCCTTAAGTTGGTAAGATGCTAACTCAACCCGATCATTCCCAATTACCTTTATCACTTCAAAGATCTTCTTGACGTCATCAATGAAGTTTTGGGGATATTCTCCAACCTGCGATCCTAAGAACTCTAGCGGATTCATCCTAACAAAGTTTCGCACTCTGGCTGCAATTGACTTAACATTAGCATTTTCTGGAACTAGAGCCCGCTGGTTATTCTGGTTGGCCACAATCTGAGATAACATCTGAATGGAGTTCCTGAACTCTGCATTCGAGACTTCCTGATCTGGGACTGGAAGGGCGGTGTTTGCATTTCGGTCGTTTGCATTCCTGGCGTCAGCTCTACGAGCAGGCATGATCACTGAAATGTAGGATGTTGAGTTAGAATGGAATTAGATCATACCTTAAGCACGATAAGAGTAACAAGAATATGAAGATTTTTCCTAAAACACCTTGTAGCCTCCCTCTCATTAGATGTGGTGCACTCTACACCTATGAAAATAACTCTACTTAGTGCGGCTTTTCAGACATCCTAGGACTTTTAAATCTAGTGCTCTGATACCAAGTTTGTCAGGCCCCGAGCTACCCCTGAGACGCTGACACGGGAGCTATGATCACAAGTGACCCCAAGCTAACCCTGCTGGTATGACATGAACATACTAAGAATAATAATAACTGTTGCGGAAGCTAAATCAGGAAAATTAAAGTAATAGGGAATACCCATATACTAAAATTGAATATATCAAATCTGAGAGTTTAATACAAAAGAAACATCACACTCAAATACTAAGCAAAATCTAACTATGTCTAAAAATAGCCTCTAACTGACTAGAAGTGCTAGGACATGCCCCATCTAAGTTTAGCAAAACTGGAACTAAAAGACTAAAATAGTGAACTGGAGATAGAGAACCGATCTAAGCGTGATCTGGATGCTGAGAACCCGGACCTACATCACGAGAAGATGTAGCACAGAGTATGCATCAGTACTTTAAAGGAACTGAAAATGCAGGATAGAGTAAAGCTGAAATAAATATATAACTGAACAAGCAAAAAAGCAAGAGCATAATCTGAACATGATATAGATACTGAATACTAAGCTAACTAAATGTAATGACCACTTTCTTACATGTTGATACAGAATACTGACTATACTGAAATGTGGTCAATGCAATGGAGTCTAACTAAACTGTAGGAGCTACTAATAACCGATAATAAAACTACATGAGCTAAATGTGAAATCCGATGTATACGCCTCATTGAGAGGACCCAATATACCCGGCCAAAGGTATAGAGGCATGCTGGCGTGATCACTAAAATGATGACCATAGAGGGAACTTACAACCTACGTGGCTCGTGGTTCTGAGACAATATGGGTGACTGACCCTAGTCCAACTTGATATTAAGCTACTCCCAATGGATTAGGTGATTAACACATTATGACTGAATTTCTATGATATAATCGATAGCTCAAAATGACATGCAAACTGAGAATAAACATTAATAAACTGAGAATGACACATTCAAAACTAAGGCATCTATATCTTAAATAACTGAAATATCTGGCCTAGCATTTGTAATTCAAGAACTAAAGCACTACATAGCTAGGGTTCTGAAATTCATGCAATAAACGAAGTAATAACATGCTAATCTAATTTGGAACATGTAATTAACTAATTTATGATAATCTGCTGAAGTTCTAGAAACCCTAGGTCTAGTTGATAATAGGGAATCAAGAAACTAACTGAAATTTAGGGATCTAATGGGGGAAAGGAACCCACTAGTGAAATCCCACATACCTGGTGATAAATTCCACGGAGATATCTTTCGATTTCGGGGATGGAACTGATGGAATCTTGTTGCATTCTTGAACTAGGATTGCTCGACCTCTTACCTCTTTTCATGTTCTAATTTCTAAGTTTTTGATGAAATATCTGACTTGGGTAAGTTCTAGTTATGTTTTTAGGCTAAAACTAATCAAAACTACGTAGTTTAGGGTTAAAACGATGTAGTTTAGGGGTCTAACGAAATAGGAAAAGACCAAAAGACCCCTGACTTAAAGCTACAAACGGGCTGACCACGGCCCCTTTCACTGACCCTGAAAGGGACCACGGACCGTGAAGGCCCTCGTGATCTTCACTTGATCATATGGTTCCGAAGACTAGGTCCACGAGCCACTACCACTGCCCGTGTGGAGGACCACAGACCGTGAAGGTCCCCGTGGTCCTCACTTGGGCTGAGGTATGGAGACTTAGGGCTAGGGTTTACAGGCTGGCCTTCAGGAACCCTTCCACGGGCCGTGTGGAAAACCACGGACCGTAAAGGTCCTCGTGGTCCTCACTTAGGCTTGAGGGTCTGAGGGCTAGTCTAGGGAGGCTACTGCCTAACTATTCACGAACACCACCACGGTCCGTTGTCAAGACCACGGCCCGTGAAGGTATCCGTTGTCTGATGGCTGGACCTGGTGAAGTCGAAGTCAGGATCACGGGCAGTTCACTGGACCGTGGACCCTATCACAGTCCATGAACCCTGTCGTGGTTCACTGGTTCAGGTAAGTTTTGCAAAAAAATTCTGGGTCTTGTTTTCGAGGTGTTAGAGACACTAATGGTAATTTGCATGTTTTTGTGTGAATTTATGTTTTTGCCCCTTCCCATAACTTTTGTGTAGTGTTTGTGGTGTGTTGGGATGGATTGCACACTTTTCGTAGAATTGTGTAAGTTTTTCCCTTTTGGTAGTTTTTAAGTTGAAAGAGTTGAGTTTGGTAAACATTTGGAGAATATGATGTCGTATGATATTTTCGTCATTTCAATTAGTTCCAAAAGATCCATTTTGGGCTAGTAGCAGGGTTGGTTCGGGTCTTGGGGCCTTTAGCGTAAGCTTGAGCTATTAGGCACGATGTTTTTCAAAGTTTGGCTAATATTTGACTTCGGTTAATGAGAATTCCATTGGAATGGTTAGCTTCAGAATTCAGAGTTTAGTCTAGAACGAACTTTTGTTCGGATCCCAAGGTGCTCTAGTTGATTTTGTGACAATTTTGCATCTTTTGGTTACTTTGTGTAAGTGTTGACTTAGGTAAATATTTTAATGAGACGATCTCCATTGGTTGTTTCGTCAATTTTGTTGAGTCTGAAAGGGAAAATGCATAGGTACTCCCCAGCCAAATGCCCGAAATCCCAGAGACACATCTAACCTTTACTAAGGTCCTATTACCCCCCCCCCCCCCGAACTTAATTTATCCATAATATTCTACCCCTTTTCGGCCTACGTGGCACTATCCTCGAAAAAAATGTCAACATGCGCTGGGCCCACAAGACAGTGCCACGTAGGCCAAAAAGGGGTAGAATATTACATATAAAATAAGTTCGAGGGGATAATAGGACCTTAGTAAAGGTTAGGTGTGTCTCTGGGATTTCGGGTATAGGCTGGGGGGGTACTTATGCATTTTCCTAGTCTAAAATATCAATTTTGTGGGATAGCATAGTTTGTTTGTGTTCAAGAGGTTCTAAACAAATCTTGATCCCCCACCATTGCATTCTCTTAACCTTAAGTGCAGTTGATGTAGTCTTTGTTGGTGCATTGTGCACTGCACTCTGCTTTCGTGAGCCAGGTCCCACCAAAAATATTGGAAGTTCTAAATATATTATCCCCATTTTCAGCTTATATTTTCTGCAACCACTCTTGAATCCTTCTTTGCAAGCACTAAAACAAATGTAGAATCTCTAAATTCCATTAGGCTTGCTGAGATCCTCATTTTCAATCAACTTCAAACAAACTAAAGTATTTGAATTTGTCCTTACGATTTCATTAAAATAATTCCACAATAACTTGAATCTATCAGAGATATGTCCATCGATTATTGTAATTGCCTCATTTCACCATCTATATTTAGATAATGGAGCATGTGCTCTTAACTAAATTCTAACGTGATTTCTAAATTTGGAGATCTTTCAATTACTGTTTGATTTTAAGACATCAAGATATCCTCTAGCTATGAACAAAGACGTTATGATTTTATTAATGTGGTTCAATTTTTATAGTTGTGGATGAGATTACATGTCTGTACTTGAAAAACACTATCTTTGAACATTTTAGAATCCATAATATCTTTGTCACAATCTTAATTTATAGGACAAACTGCTTGTATCATTTACTTATCATTCTTGCGCCATTTTTTATACCTTCCTTGATTGACTTCATGAGTTTTCACAACATTCTTGAACTCATTTACTTATTTGTCTTTGGATTGAACTCAAGAAAGTTCTTACTATCTGAATTAGGATTACTTTTTAAGCTCTTGAACGCTTTAGAGTCATCACAATCAGAATCTCCTTCTTTACGTGCCATCTATTTTCGCACTTCATCGCTAACTTCATATCCAGGTGCTCCATTTTTACTCCTTCATAAAATAGTGTGTTCTTCTGACAAATCATTACCCAAGTCTTCAAAATTGCCACCACTTGAACAATATTCAGTCCTTCCCTCTTTATCCTTACCTCCAGCAAATTGTTGATGTTCATTTGAACTATTGCAATATTGTCCTTGATTGAAGGTTTTCTTAACATCCATTCCGATATAAGAGTAATGTTCAAAGTAAACCTCGATTCCAATATAAGAGTAATGTTCAAAATAATGTCTTAAATGTTAGTGCTTCATAACACCATTGTGGATTACTTTGAAGTTGGTTTTAAGGCATCATGTATAGAATTTGTGGAAAAATTAAAAAAGAAGAAGAATTGACTATTATCTTTTTTTTACAACAGAGCCTCCCAGAATTGAAGACCTGAACTCTAAAAAACTCACAAAAGAGAGTTGTACCACCTAATGTTCGTAAAATCATTATCTTGAGCTTTAAACATGGTGTAAATTGATGATATTTTATCTAGTTTTCTTAGTATAGTGGCAATGGGGAGAAACAACCCCCAAATGGGCCCTGCAGCATGCAATTCGGATTTAGTCAGAGCTCCAATGTGGGCTCCGAACACCGGGTGGAAAACCAAAGAAAGACAATGGGGAGAAAAAAGTCAGGAAAGAGAGAAGATTTTAGCAGGAAATGAAACCCACAGTGTTCCTCACGTTGTCTGTAGAAGCATAGAGAAAGATCAAACTAGATCATGTTTTAAATACTTAAAGATTAAAATCGAATATGGAGACTAGTTAGATAAGATTAAAAGTCTCTTAGAATGTGTGTAAACATGAGTGATTGTGTGAGTGAAAGATGAGACTGATGAGATACAGAGGCTATATATTATACACATTGGATACAATCCAAAATTAGATCTCCATTCTTCAACTCCATAAATAGTTTCATTTCTATCTCATGTTGAATCTCCAACAAAGTTGAATTTCCGTCAACAGTACATCTAACATCTCTCTTTTTTCTAGATTCATCGTTTTCAAATTGTTTTGAAATAAAATCAACCAAATCATTATATGTAGTGTAATCCTTGAGAAAAATATCATCAATTTTATAACCATCGTATATAATTTAAAAAATCAAGTTTCAGAATGTCTCAACCACACAATGATATGTCATTGTCAATCTCAGATATAGTGATTTCGAAAAATTGAACAATACACTATTTAAAATGGAATATAAATTAAATAGAAGAAACGGAATAAAATCTTTGTGACGAACTAGGAGAGAATTTGAATTTTTTCGATATGTTAACTTTAGCTTAGGATACTTCATATCCTTGAAAGTCGTTACAATCGTGAATTACTTTTGTGATTAAATTATGTTCTGATATAAGAGTAATGTTCAAAGTAAACCTCGATTCCAATATAAGAGTAATGTTCAAAATAATGTCTTCAATGTTAGTGCTTCATAACACCATTGTGGATTACTTTGAAGTTGATTTTAAGGCATCATGTATAGAATTTGTGGAAGAATTAAAAAAGAAGAAGAATTGACTATTATCTTCTTTTTACAACAGGGCCTCCCAGAATTGAAGACCTGAACTCTAAAAAACTCACAAAAGAGAGGAGTTGTACCACCTAATGTTCGTAAAATCATTATCTTGAGCTTTAAACATGGTGTAAATTGATGATATTTTATCTAGTTTTCTTAGTACAGAACAGATTTTGTGCACAGAGGGAACACAGCTGCAACGCAGACTTGTTTCCTGAAAGCAGCCTGACTTTTCTCCTTCATGTTGCCAACTCTAAACCCTCTTAACCTCAAAGGTTCTTTTCCCAAACACTTGGGGTCATAAACCCCTCAACATACAGTGGACTCCACTCAAAAACACAACCAAATCCAGTCCCAAATCAGCAAGAACTTCAACAACACAACCAACAACTTCAACAACCAAAATAAATCTTTTCTTGGAATTGAAAACGAGTTGGTGTGTGGGGGTATGAACCAACCAACACTAAGGATCATAAAATCCCTCAACATACAAGAGATTCAACTCAAGAACAGAACCAAATCATGTCCCACAACCAACAATAACTTCCACAACACAACTAACAACATCAACAACAACTAACAACTTTAACAACAAATCCAATATTTTCTCAAATCATAAAATGAGCTTTGTGTGTGGGGGAAAGGATCAACCCACACAAAGAACTCACATACCTTGATAGGGATCACCCCTGACGATTTCCACGACGATCTTTGACGGAAACTCCTTGATGTCCTCTTCTTCTTCTCTTCTTTCTCTCCTTCTTCTCTTCTTCACCCTCAAGAACCCTAACTCGTACTCTTTTAAAATGGAACAAAAATTATCCACAATCAGCCTAACACAACAATATAAACTCAAAAGAAATGATTTGTGAAAAGACCAAAATGCCCTTAAATTTCCGGATGAACTCCCTGCCAACTGCCCAACTTTCAAAGGGCATAACTCGCTCATACGAACTCGGAATCGAGCAAACTCGGTGGCGTTGGAAAGATCGTTCCAAGGGCTTTCCAAACATAACTGGAACTACTCCTAGATCATCTTGAGCTAAGCGTTATGACTGCTCTTAGTTGGCCAAAAACTCACTGATTTCCACACTTAGCCAAATTTCCAGATTTTGAATTTAGCCAAATTTCCATATTCTAAACTTAGCCAAATTTTCAAATTCTGAATTTTTCCAAAAAATGACTACTTTCAATTTCAAGCTTCTTCATATTCATTTTAAATTGTCGGATGTTACATATACAACCTTAAAAAATACAATTAAATAACTTCTTTAATTCCCAGCAACTCAATAATATTGATGTAAAACAGAATTATCAGCACAAGTAAGCTTAGCCGGTACAAACACGACTATGCTCCCAAAACAGTGATTCTGGTCAGCCTAGTACCTCATGTCGCACCTTAGATTTGAAAAGGAAAACAGCAAAACTAGACTGTATAACCTTCCTGAAAGATGTAGCTACACCTCTTAAGGTTGCAACCAAACAAGAATCACCGTAAAATATATTTTTTATAAAAAGATATATTCAAAACACTAACAGCTGTCCATACAGGATTTCTAATTTCAAAATCTGGACAGAACTTGTCCTATGTTGCGTCCCATATTTCGATTCCATAACAGCTAAATTAGAGTTTTACATAAACATAAAAGTTGTAGGTCTATGAATTAGCTTTCCAAATCATATTTATTCACTGTAAACGGAGTTATAGAGGATGAGATATGCATAAATTACCAAACACTACCCAGCTCGTGAACAAATTTCGTCACTTACCAAAAAGAAGTGTGTCTCGAATTCCAGCCAAAAGAACCAAGTTTTCTCTTGTGATTTTGAAGAACAATCTATTTAGATATGTTTCAAAGGTTCTAAAGCTTGAGTAAAACGAAATTACTAAAGGAGGGGTGAAAATATATAGTCAAACAAGTGATGTTTATCCCTTGGACAGCTGTCCTTCAAAGGTGCTGCCCAAAAATTTGTGTGATGCCCAAAATGCATACATATACACCTATATATATATATCCCTCATCTCCTTTTTAAAGTTATGCATAATTCTAATTAGAATATTACCTAAACACCCCATCACAATCCCTTAAATTACGATCACAATTTATGTTAAGCAAGTTAGCAATTATCACAACATTTCAAGTTCCTAAAATGAGAGTAAAACATATTGTAGTAATTAGGAAATGGTAAATCGACATGCGACTCTTGGTTAATATTTAGGGGTGTTACATGGAGCATTGACAGAAGCAACTTATATCTGACTCTATACCTACCATTAACTCTTCACGCTTCTCAATTTTTGCTCTTATTTCTTCAGAATTTAGAACATTATCACACAAAATCTGCAAAATAATAATTTTATGCAATGATGTTCTAAATTCATAAGAAATAGGAGAAGAAATAGACAATGAAGAATCAACGGTAGGTATAAAGTCAATTATAAGTACAGGTGTTTCTTATGTCAATGCTTCAAGAATAGTTCATTTCTAATATACTAAAACTTCTGCATGTAAGGAAAAAGAAGCTATCGAGTTCTATAAAGAAAGAGTTTCCAAAGTCTTTTTTAAGCAGAGGTCGTAAAAACATCGTTTTACTCGTAAAATAGACTACCAACTGTGATCGTGGATGGAATGATACCATTTGAAGCTTGGAATTGCATAAAACCATAAATAATACATTTTTCGGTGTTTGGTTCATTGTGTTGTACTCATGTCCAGCTATCAAACGGTGCAAGCTTGATAAAAAAGCTAAAAAGAACATTTTTTGTTGGTTGTAGCTATATCTCTAAGGGCTATGAAGATTTTATAAGAAGAGATGTGAAGGTGGATGAAGATGCTTATTGGAATTCGAATATCTCTCAAGTCAGAAGGATTGATGTTCAACCTGCGTTAGAAGATTCAAATGAAGACTTGGAAGCGCAGAATGATAAAGATTTTTTTGTTAGACGTACTAGAACTTTTGCAAAAATTTGTGGAAGATGTAATCTTGTTTTCCCTAAACCTTCAAACTTTCAAGATGCCGGTGGGATTGAAGAATGGATGAGAGGAATGAAGGAGGAAATAGCCATGATTGAGAAGAACAAGACATGGAAGCTCATTGACAAACTTGAAAGAAAGCAAGTAATTGGAGTTAAATAGGTTTACTGAGTGAAGTTGAATGCAGATGGATCTATCAACAAGAACAAATCAAAGTAGGTTGATAAAGGTTATTATCGACATCTTGGAGTTCATTATTTAGATACTTTTGCACTTTTTGCAAAGATGGACACCATTATAATTTTGATTGCATTGGCAACACAAATGAAGTGGAAAATCTGCCATTTAGATGTCAAATCTGCCTTCTTGAATGGTTTTCTAGAAGAGGAGATTTATGTAGCTCAACCCGAAGTTTTTTAGTTCAAGAAAGTGACAATGAGGTGTATAATCTTCAACTGGTGTCATTCCATCCATTGCCCTTTTTGGTAGTCTATTTTGCAAGTTAATCTATATGTTTACCGCCTTTAGTCAATAAGAGTTTCTCAACTTTTTCTTCGTAGAGATCGGTAGCTTCTTGTTCCTTATAAGGAGAAGTTTAGCATATCTGGTATGAACAATTCTTGGTGCACTGACAAAAGCAACACTAGTACTTGTATCTAACTCGATACCTATCATTGTTTCTTCACGCATGTCAATTTCTGCTCTTATTTCTTCAAAATTAGAGACATCGTCACACAATATCTGCAAAACATGATTTTGTCTGATGATGTTCTAAATTCTTAAGAAGTAAGAGCATAAATTGACACACATGAAGAATCAATGGTAGGTATTGAGTCAGATATAAGTACATGTGTTTCTTCTATTAATGCACCAAAAATACTTCATCCCAGATATGATAAAACGTTTGCATGTAAGGAACAAGAAGCCATAGAGCTCTATAAAAATAGTTACAAAAAGTCGTTTTTTGGCAGAGGCAGTAAACACACCGATGTACTTGGAAAAGAGGTAACCAACAAGGGTCGTAGATGGAATGACACTAGTTTAAGCTTGGAATTCCATAAAACCATCAATAAGACATCTAAGGTGGTTGGTTCATTGTGTTCTACTCATGTACCAACTATCAAATGGAGTAAGCTTGATTATAAACTGGAAAAAGGAATTTTTGGTTGGGTATAGCTCTATGTCTAAGGGCTATATCATTTACAATATTGAATCTTAGAAAGTTTTTATACGTAGAGATGTGAAGGTGGATGAAGAGTCTTATTGTGATTTGAATATCTCTCAAGTCCGAAGGATGGATATTGAACCTGCTTTAGAAGATTCGAATAAAGACTTCGAAGCAAATGATGATGAAGATTTTTATGTTAGAGGTTCTAGATCTTTGGCAAAAATTATGGAAGATGTAATCTTGTTATTGTGGAACCTTCAAACTTTTAAGATGCCAGTGGGATTGAAGAATAGAAGCGAGCATTGAAGGAGGAAATAGCCATGATTGACAAGAACGAGCTGTGGAAACTCATTGATAAACCTGAAACTAAGAAAGTTATTGGAGTTAAATAGGTTTACGTAGAGAAGTTTCATGCATATGAATCAATAAACAAGAGCAAAGAGTACTTGGTTGTTAAAGTTTATTCTCAAAAGCCTGGAGTTGATTATTTAGATAGTTCTGCACCTGTTGCAAGGATGAACGCCATCAGTATTTTAATTGCATTGGCAACACAGATGATGTGGAAAATCCTTTATTTAGATGTTAAATCTGCCTTCCGAAATGGTTTTCTAGAAGATGAGATTTATTGAGCTCAACCCGAAGGTTTGGTAGTTTAAGGAAGTGAAGGTAAGGTGTATAAGCTTCAACCCGTGTCATTCCATCCACGACCTTGTTTGTAGTCTATTTTGCAAGTAAATCGATGTGTTTATTGCCTCGACCCAAAAAGACTTTGGCATCATTTCCATAATAGAGCTCGGTTGCTTCTCATTCCTTGCAGGCAAAAGTTTTAGCACATATGGGATGAACTAGTCTTGGTGCACTGACAGAAGAAACAGTTGTACTTATATCTTGCTCAATACCTACCATTTATTCTTCACCCGTCGTCAATATCTGCTCTTATTTCTTCGTAACTTAGAACATCATCACATAAAATCTGCAAAACCATGATTTTCTGTGATAACATTCTAAATTCTATAGAAATAACAGCAAAATTGACACGCATGAAGAATCAATGGTAGCTATTGAGTCAGATATAAGTACAAAGTGTTGCTTTTTTCAGTGCACCAAAGCAACCGAGCTCTCTAAAGAAAAGTTGCCAAAGTCTGTTTTAAGGGTCGTGGATGGAATGACACATTTTAAGCTTATACACCTTACCTTCACTTCCTTGAACTACAAAACCTTCGGGTTGAGCTACATAAATCTCCTCATTTAGAAAACCATTCAAGGCAGATTTGATATCTAAATACCAGATGTTCCTTCCAGATGTAGCTCAGTACAAAGGTTTTGTAGTTCCTTCAAATAGTTGTATATGGTTTGAAGCAGGCTCCAAGGGCTTGGTACAGCATAATCGATGTTCAATTGGCAACCAATGTTCCGAAACAAAATGACAATGATGCTACACTTTTTGTGTAGATACTTCTTAATGATGGAGCCGAATAGTGTGATGCTTCATATTTTAGAAGTTTGATTGGAAGTTGTCTTGGCAGCTCAAGACCTGATTTAATGTATGCTGCTAGTTTCCTTTCAAGTTTAATGCAAAGTCTCAGCGACATTCATTTTATTGCTGTGAAAAGAGTGCTTAGATACTTAGGAGGAACTCTGTAAGTTGGAATATGGTTCAGACCTGTGGAAGAAGGTGCTTTGCTTGGCATTGTTGATAGTCATTGGGATGGTAATATTGACAATATGAAGAGTACTACTGGCTATGCTTTTTCCTTGGGTCTGGTGTGTTTTCATGGAATTCAAAGAAGATAGAAATAGTGGCGCAATCTACCATAGAAGAAGAGTTTATAGCAGCATCTACAGATGCAAATCAAGTTATTTGGTTAAGGAAAATTCTGAAGGGTCTTGGAATGAAATTGCAAGTTGCAAATAAGATCAAGTGTAATAACAAATCAGCAATTCTAATTGCAGAAAATCCAGTGCGGCATGGTAAAACAAAGCATATCTTTGTCAAGTTTCATTCCATTAGAGAAGCCGAGAAGAAAAAGGAAATCAAGCTTGTTCATAGTTGTTCCAAGAATCAACTCGCTGATATTTTACTAAAGCTCTTCCCAAATTCAGATTCCAAATAAAGCTCTTCATCCTTATTTAATTTGTGCCTCAAAGATCAAGCTCTTGTTATTCTGCAGTTTAAGAAAATGTTTACCATACCTCCTTATGTTTCTTATTGTTCCTACAAAACAACAAATCAAAATATTGACTCATATCCAAAGACATTTACATGGAATACAAGCAGTAATTGTTGCTCATGGGCTGGAGTTTATTGTGACGAGACAACGGGACAAGTGATTGAGCTTGACCTTAGTTGCAGCCAACTTCAAGGTAAGTTTCATCCCAACTGTAGCCTCTTTCAACTCTCCTCTCTCAAAAGGCTTGATTTGTCTCGTAATGATTTCTCTCAGTTGCACATTTCACCTAAATTTGGTGAATTTTCTAGCTTAACACATCTTGATAAATCAGATTCGAATATGTCAGGTCTTCTGAAATCTTTCACATTTCAAAATTGCAAGTTCTACGAATCTCAAGAATAATGCATATGATCAAGATGGACTTCACCTAGGGCCTCGCAATTTTAAACTACTAGTTAAGAACTTAACCCAATTAAGAGAACTTAACCTTTTCTTAGTGGACATTGATATACTGTGAGTTTACGGTATTTCTAATACATTTCACTTACAAGTTGTGTGTGTCTAGGGTTTTATTTGTATTAGTTTTCATGTGTTTTTATCATATTTTGCAGGAAAGATATTCAGGCACGGAATTAAAGAGACAACTGACAGAATTGCAGAAAAGGGCATCTACGGACCGTAGATCCATTGACGCTCCGTAGATGGTAGTCGTAGATCAGCAGGCAAGGCATGGAAGGCAAATCAGAGAAATCTGACCAAGTGTGGAACCACGGTGCCCATTGACGGTCCATAGATTAATCTACGGACCGTACTATTGATCCGTAGATATATACTGTGAGGGTTCCAGTACCTGATTTTTGAAGATTCAAAGTGTGGAGCTACGGAAGGGGATTAACGGACCGTAGATCGATCTTTGGAAGTTGAAATATTTTCTAAGTCCTGGCTGACGAAAGGGACTCACGCACCGTAGATCCATTGACGGTCCGTGAGTCAGTCTCGTGGAATGAAGACACGTGCCTGTAACAAACTTTCCTTATTTTGTTTCCCTTTTTATTTAGGACTTGTTTTCTATAAATAGGGCATGTAAACCTCATTTTTAGGGGGTAGACATTATTATTCTATTCTAGTTCTTGACTTGGGAGATTAATTTGCAACTTTAGCAATTATTAATTTCCTTAGATCGTTTTGAAGATTTTGGAGTTGCAATTCAAGTTGAATTTCTGGGTTTATTACTCTTGTTACGTAAGTTTATAATTCTTCCATCTAAAACAATGAATTGTAGTCATATGATTATGGATAACTAAACTCCACAACTAGGGTTGTGGGAACCATGAGCAATTAAAAAAGTATGAATAGTAAATAAGCAATTCTTGAATAGTGTGGTGCATGCATTGATAATTCTTTCCTTTAGAAGTCTTTTTAGCGGTTGCAAACGTTAGAACTCGCCTTGTTGCTACTTTCCAGACCAAGAAGGTAATCAACAGGAAAAAAATTATCAACATAGATTTAGTGTGATACTATCTAATAGGCTAGTGTCGATTGGTGCGAAGTAATAACTAAGCCAAACATCGATTATGATGTCTAATATAAGGTAAAGGTAAGGGTTAGTAAAGTACACACACATAGCCGGACCAAGGTGCGGGGTGAAATTCTCTAGATGTCGAACCAAGGATTTAGAAATACCTAATATATCACTTTGCATGTAATACACTAAGAAAGGATTGCTATTATTAGGATTACTGCGTTATGAGCTTGTGGGGAACACGGATACCCTAGTTATTTCACTCTTGATAACAACCCAAAACTGACATTTGATTACTGATTATTTATTGAATTCTTACAATTTGTTCTAAAAAAGCCCCCTTTTTTATTACTTGTTTATGGAAGTAATTTGACTAATTGAATATAATTGTTGGTTAAAGTAAAGTCTAAACCATTTTCCTCGTGGGATCGACCCCAACCTACAAGTTTGGTTCTTTACTTGATAACGATCCCTTATGCTTCTTTAGGGAGGTGTAATTTAAGCGTGTCAAATTTTGGCGCCGCTACCGGGGTAATTTGGCTTTTAGATTTATTTTAACTACATTATTGAACGTTAGTCAAATATTTTCTAATTTTACGTTTTCTCTTTGTTTTCGTCTCTCTCAAGTTCTGACTCTAGTGTATGCCAAGTACACGGAACAAGGGTGAACCACTTACTCCTTACGATCCAGAGTTGAATCGCACTTTGCGAAGAATGAACAATTCAGGATATCCAGTTAATCCTAACAGAGGAAATCTAGGTGATGTAGTTGAGTTACAACAACCGAGGGTAGTTGGTAGGGACAATCAGATTCCAGCTGACAATCAATTGGGAGATGCATTGAGGGTACAAGATCCACCAGGCCCATGACAACATGACCACTATCGGGGCAACATCAATATAGCAGACTCAGATGGACCAATTTGTTCTACCTAATCTACCTCCAGGGCACACATTTGTGGTGACTAGCAGCTTGATGCAAATGCTTACAACATGGGGCTTATTCTAAGGATTGTCATCGGAGGACCCACATGCACACTTAGCCAAGCTAAGGGTTATAGATTTGGTTTGGTTTATTCTGTAAAAGTCCCATTGTTCTAGATACTTTTTTCATCTCGGTACAATGAAGATGTATTGTGATCTGATACAGCACTATTGGTGGTGTGGGTTAAAAGGGACATTCTGACATTTGTGGCTAGATGTTTAAACTGTCAGCTGGTGAAGTGACCAATAGAGGACAGGTGGTTTGACCCAACAATTACCCATTCTAGAGTGGAAGTGGGAGACGGCAGCTATGGACTTTATAGTAGTTTTTACGCATAGTTTTTGGAGATTTAATGTTTTTTGGTTCATCGTAGATCAACTGACCAAGTCTTCTCACTTTTTGCCGATTCAGGCTACCTATAGTTTATGAAGATTAGCTCAGATTTACATTCGAAAGATTTTTCGTTTGCATGGGTACTGGTATCTATCATTTCAGATCATGGCACTCAGTTCAATTCATGTTTTTGGAGGTCTTTTTAGAGGCAATTGAGTACTAGAATTGAGCTTAACACAACTTTCCATCCAAAGACTAAAGGTCAGTTTAAGAGGACTATTCAAGTCTTGAAGGACATGCTTTGGGCCTGTGTTATTGATTGCAGAGGTTAGTGGGACCAGTTCTTGGCTTTGGAGGAGTTCACGTATAATAACATCTACCATTTGAGTATTCAAATGGATCCATTTTAAGAGTTTACTAGTAGGAGATGTCGATCTTTGGCAGGCTGGTTTGATTTTTTTGAAGTTAGGTTGTGGGGAACTGACTTGTTGCATGAATTTATGAGTAGTGTTCATGTGATCCAAGAGCGAATCTACCCTACCTAAAGTCAGAAGAAGAGTTATGTTGATCAGAGAGTTTATTGGCGACCAAGTATTTCTAAAGTGTTGTCCATGGGGT